TTATACCCAACAATTGCAGAATACAAATTCTCTTGAAATGTATGTGGTATATTCAGCAAGTCAGTACAGATATATGAATATATGTATTCTACAAAGGCTACTCTGATAGAAATTTGTATGTGAGTCATAGAAGGACACTTATTTACAAAACAAAAACCATGCATATCTGGGAAAAAGAGTAGATCTGCCCATTAACTGGTTAGCTTTGGTTCATTTGTCAGACTAGCTAATGTATTACCCAGAGGGGTCTTAGAGAAATAGGACAAGGGCAAGAGAATATAAAGAAAAAGAAGGGCATGGACGTTCCCGTGAGTGGAACAGGCCAGGGCTGGGTCAACAGTGGGAACACCAGGAGTAGCATGAAGGTCAGGCAATGGAGGAAAGAGAAGCCATCAATAGGAAGTAAGAGAAAGAAAATGGAGAGAGAGAGAGAGCTTTTACTGATTTCACTATTTCATCTAGCCTCAAGTTGCGCTCTCTCTTCCTGGAGATTTCTTAGTCCTTCCGGACTGCATATGAATTTATCAGGTTCAAGCCTTCTTAGCATCCAACCTCCTATATGTATTGACCGAACATTACGTGCCCAACTATCTCCCTCATGACCTCAGCCATCTCTGAATGCATGTGACAGGCTGAGTCACGCCTCCCTGCTTCAACTTGAAACATTTCCTCTACTTCTAATAACCTTCTCCCTCCTACACATGCTGCTCTTTAAAACCCTTCAGTTACCAAGACCCAACAAGATTTGTGTTATCTGCAAAACCTCCCATTCTAACACCACCCCACCACAATAGTCCTTTTTATTTGAATCCTTAAATCCAGATACACAATCTGTTCCATGTACTCTGTTGTTTTGCTCATCTAACCTATAACCAAATGCTCCAAGTTTTCTGAACTTTTGGAGTTAGCCCGACCTATCAAAATGAAAAACTATTTCTCAGGTTGTGTATTTGTATGTATTCCCTTTCTCTCCCTGGCGTTTTTAAAAAATCTCATAGAAATATTTACATGTTCCAGAACTCTTCCCTTGGTTGCTGTTTGCCACTTCTTTTCTGAGTCACTATGTGACTGTCCCATATTGCCTCCTGCTCCTCATGACTGCTTGTCCATGATGTGGTGGCTTTCTCTGATTCACTTCACTCTAAAGCTTAAACAGGCTCCTTTCTTTATTCCCAAAGACAACTAACAAAGGCTATTGCTTGCCATGAAAATGGTTCAAATTTTTTTGAACATTCACTTTTTGTCAAGTACTCTGCAAAATGCTGTTACAGACATTTCCTCATTAGGCTTTCATTGACAACCCTAGAGGTAGGCACTATTATTATCTTCTCTTAAGAATTAAGTCAATGGACACTGTAAGAGGCTACGTAATCTATCAGGCTAGGTAATCTATCAAAAGTCACATGGCAGATAAGTAGTAAAATTGGTATTTATGTTATATTTTCATTGTCATTCTATTTGAAATATTATCAAAATTTCTCCTGTGATTTCTTTTTTGACTCATGGATAATATAAAAGGAAATTGTTTAATTTTCAAATATTGAAAATTAAATGGTTTTCCTAGACAACTTATTGTTATTAATTTCTAATTTAATTCCATTTGGATCAGAAAGTATGCTAAAATATTAAGATCTCTCTGTAAATACTATGTGTATATCAAACAAATTGAAATAGCCAAACAGCTACTGCCCTGAGCTTCTCTGAGTCCCTCCCACCCTGCCACCCTCTCCTGGGTCTATTATCCAGTAACTGAAGAATTACACAGTGTACCCTAGGGAGTCACTGGGACCCAGGTCCAGCACTGTGGCCTGAATCCATTCTGGTTAGTAGATGTCCTGTTTTATCAGTAATTAATATTTTAAATATGACCCTTACATGCTACTTATGAAACAACATCTTAATGATTAATAACAGAATATTTCGCATTTCAGTTTGAGGCACTCAGATTACTCCTCAGACTCAGGATTTCCTCTAAACAATGAGCATTTACAAATTCTGTATCTACGTGAATAAAAAAAAATGGACCACAGGAGTTCTTCCAGGAACACAGACAGGACTTTTCCCCCAAAATTTACTCTGCTATGCTTACCTAGCTCCTTATTAATATTTTACATTCGCCATGTCTTGTCTCTCTAATATAAGTTACATCTTGTACTGCTCCATCGTTCCCAGCACTGTGCTGCCCACACCAAGATGGATATCTGATAACCGCTTGCTGACAAATATGCAAAAGTTTCTCCCAGAAAAGCCAACAAGGAGACACTCAACACATACATTAATACATTTGAGCATTAAAATGATAGTGGGTTCATAATCTCTTTTCACAAGGTAAGGACGCATTTTGCATTGTTTGCAAAAAAAGAATGAAGGATATATGTGCTATAGTCTTGTAAAAAATATAAATGTGAATATGATAACTGGAGCTTAAAGAAGAAAACAAAAGCCCTGGAAAAGAAATAGACCATCTCTATTTTCTGCCTACCTGCTGCTCTTCTTCTGCATGGATAGGAACAGAAGCAAATACAATAGAAGGGCTACAAAATTACTTTAACACATACACCACCCATCAAATTGATAACCCTTCAAGGAGAGCCAAAGCTGAGTTTTACCCCTCAGGATAAAATTACAGTGGGATTTAAAACACACACCACCCCTCCCCTCCCACATACACACACACAACAAAAACAAAAAATTGTAAACCACCTAAATACATAAATGCTTATCAACAGGATAATAGTTGAACAATGTATGATATACCCTTACTATGTGTAACTATGCACCGATTTTACGGAATGAGGTGGATTTATACATATACTGCTATGGAAAGATGTACATGAGTTACTGCTAGTGAAAAGAGAAAATTGTTGAATAATTAGCATAAACCTGTTTTGATATAAGTTTTCCATAGTGTTATGTTGGAGCTGGCTTACACTGGCTCACAAGAGCTGATTGTTGAATTTTCAGAAATTTGGCAAGCTGATTGTTAAGCAGTTGATAGCTTGAAATCAGCCATGATGAGTATATTTGCACCAAAGAAATCATCAGATTAGGCTGGCCAACGCGGCTCATGCCTGTAATCCTAGCACTTTGGGAGGCCAAGACAGGTGGATTGCTTGAGCCCAGGAGTTTGAGATCAGCCTGGGCAACACAGTGAAACTCATTCTCTTTAAAAAAAAAAAAAATACAAAAAAACATAGGCAGGCATAGTGGCATGCACCTGTAGCCCTAGCTATTCAGGAGGCTGAGGTGGGAGGGCTGCTTGAGTCCTGGAAGTCAAGGCTGCAGTAAGCCAAAATCACACCACTGCACTCTAGCCTGGGTGATAGAATGAGACCCTATCTCAAAAAACAAAAGGTTAAAAATACTTGTTTTCCCAGTCTGTTGCTTGCCTTTTAAAGAGTCAGTTTTGTTTCATGTTTTTATTTTTCTATATTCTGATATTTCAGTCTTTCCTTTTATGGCTTCTGGATTTTGTGTCAGCTGAGAAGGGCCTTCCCTACCCTAAGATGTAAAAAAAAAACCAAAAACAAAAACAAGATCCCTAGCTTGTTCTGACTGATGTAAGTTTGTGTATGTGTATATGTTACTTAGATATTTAATTCATCTGGAAGTTATTTTAGTGAATATATAGAGTAGGAAATCAGTTGACCTAATGCTATCATTACAAGTTCTTGCCCATTGATTTTTAAATGCCACATTTATCCTAATATATATACTCACACACATACACTATATAAATATATAAATATGCACACACATATATGCTGTATATATCTATACACACATACACACATATACGGGTTTCTACCCTTTATTTTGTTCTGGTGAGTTTATAGGTTTCGACCTCTTATCTTATTCCACTGAATTTCTTTTTATTCCTGATCCAAAATTTTTAGTTCCTCTAATTTTTTACATCTGGTAGGAATTCCTTTATTTTTAAACAATATTCCTAGATGTTATTTTATACTCACTCCCTCAGTTAAACTCTGAAATCATTTTATTAATTTCCAAAAAGAAAAAATATCTTATAGAGGTAGCAATTAAAATTTCACTGAATTGACATCCATCTCTTCATATGGGACTGTAGAGTCCCTCTCTGTTAAATCCTCTGGCAAAATCTGATAGTACTTATCACACGTGTCTCACTAAATTCGAGTCAAGTATGTATATCTCTTAAAATACAACAGGTTTCATTGCTACTGCAAATAAAATAATCTTTCAATAATATTTTCTATATTTCGTATCGATTCCTCAATTTTAGTATTTTACTGAGGAAAATCTTCGGAGTGTTTATAATTCACTTTTTCATGAGAGTAAACTAAACCCTTTAAATGATAATTAACTACTATTCTACTATATAGCTCAATCAGAAAATGTTGGCTGGGTACAGTGGCTCACATCTGTAATCTCAACACTTTGGGAGGTGGAGGCGGGCAGATCACTTGAGGCCAGGAGTTCGAGACCAGCCTGGCCAACATGGTGAAAACCCATGTCTACTAAAAATACAAAAATTACCTGGGCATGGTGGTACACACCAGTAGTCCCAGCTACTTGGGAGGCTGAGGCAGAAGAATCGCTTGAACCCGAGAGGCAGAGGTTGCAGTGAGCCGAGATCATGCCACTGCACTCCAGCCTGGCCAACAGAGAGAGGCTCTGTCTCAAAAAGAAAAAAAAGAAAAAGAAAAAGAATAGAAAAGGAAAAAGAAAAAGAAAGAAAGAAAATGTGGTCACTTTTTCTGTATAATTACTTGGCAATACAGTTATGGAGAGATTTCATTTGATAACATAAATCTTCCTAGAATTGTCTTCAATGCTTCATGCTGAAGTAACCTATCTGTAAAACGTACATCTAGTTTAATATGTCTTTAAATCTATTTTTTAAAATTAATCTATTTTATGCCATGAAAACTATTATCTCATGAAAAGGTTTCTCAGTGTAGTATTTCAAAGTCTAAAGCACAATTAAAATAAAACTATGCCTTTTTTTTTTCTTTTTTTAGCAAACTCTTGCCTGTGACAGTGTATTTGCCAACATGGCACCCAAAAAGAAGATTGTCAAAAAGAACAAAGGAGATATCAATGAGATGACTATAATCGTAGAAGATAGCCCCCTAAACAAACTGAATGCTTTGAATGGGCTCCTAGAGGGAGGCAATGGCCTTAGCTGCATTTCTTCTGAACTAACAGATGCTTCTTATGGCCCCAACCTCTTGGAAGGTTTAAGTAAAATGCGGCAGGAGAACTTCCTATGTGACTTAGTCATTGGTACCAAAACCAAATCCTTTGATGTTCATAAGTCAGTGATGGCTTCATGCAGTGAGTATTTTTACAACATCCTGAAAAAAGACCCATCAACTCAGAGGGTGGATCTCAATGATATCTCACCACTAGGCCTGGCCACTGTCATTGCTTATGCCTACACTGGAAAGCTCACTCTCTCCTTGTATACAATAGGAAGCATTATTTCTGCCGCTGTTTATCTTCAGATCCATACTCTTGTAAAGATGTGCAGTGATTTTCTGATACGGGAGATGAGCGTTGAGAACTGCATGTATGTTGTTAATATTGCTGAAACATACTCCCTAAAAAATGCAAAAGCAGCAGCCCAGAAATTTATTCGGGATAACTTCCTTGAATTTGCAGAATCGGATCAGTTTATGAAACTTACATTTGAACAAATTAATGAACTTCTTATAGATGATGACTTACAGTTGCCTTCTGAGATAGTAGCATTCCAGATTGCAATGAAATGGTTAGAATTTGACCAAAAGAGAGTAAAATACGCTGCAGATCTTTTGAGCAATATTCGCTTTGGTACCATCTCTGCACAAGACCTGGTCAATTATGTTCAATCCGTCCCAAGAATGATGCAAGATGCTGATTGTCACAAACTTCTCGTAGATGCTATGAACTACCACTTGCTTCCATATCATCAAAACACATTACAATCTAGGCGAACAAGAATCCGAGGCGGCTGCCGAGTCCTCGTCACCGTTGGGGGACGCCCAGGCCTTACTGAGAAGTCCCTTAGCAGAGACATTTTGTATAGAGACCCTGAAAATGGGTGGAGCAAGCTTACAGAAATGCCAGCCAAAAGTTTTAATCAGTGTGTGGCTGTGATGGATGGATTTCTTTATGTAGCCGGTGGTGAAGACCAGAATGATGCAAGAAATCAAGCCAAGCATGCAGTCAGCAATTTCTGCAGGTACTTGATCTTTTATTAGGAACTGAAATGGTTCAATATTATAGGGAAATAGCCCTAACATAGAAGTAAATTAATCTTGCTTATTAGCTTAGTCCATTGGCTTAGTAAATCAAAAATAATAGTAATGCCACCTTACGTATGTTGAGCACTTTATATTACATAAAGTGCATTCATATATATTTTGCACTATAGATTCCTGAAGCAAGCCTGTGAGGTGGGCGGGGAAGATATAATTATTCTGATTTTACATATGAGAAACCTGATACCCAGAGAAGTTATAACACCAGTAAGCGGCAATTCACATTTACTCATTTCTAGTTGGGTACTCTTCACAATATACTGATTTTTGATAGAAATTAGGTACAAATTTAGTTTTTAACACTAAGTAGTAAAAAAGAATAGAATAAAACAAAATTTATTTTAAGTGACTACTACTGACAACTGTCAAATTCATAATTGGCAAATAGAATGAGGTCACTAAAACTGTGGCAGCTAATTCTTTTGAAATACTTATTTGAAAACCGGATAACAGAAAATGTGTCAATATTGTTGACACATATAGAAAAGGTTAAAAGAGTAAAACACATCCTTCAGAAAAATGGAATTCAAATGCCATATTATTTTATATATTTATGATTAAAAATTAAACTTCCATTTATATGAAATGTTCAGAAAATTATGCTTATATCATGGTAGTAGTATGAAGTCAAACATAACTAATGAGCAAGATCTGAAAATTTGTGTAGCATTTCATGAAAAATATTCTTTATTATTCCATTATGTGTGTATGCATTGAAAAGAACACAATTAACTGATTTTCAGTGTTTAATTTGTAACTATAGTTAAGTTTAATTTGGGAGTTACATGGGACAAAGACGAACATCAGAGTGAAGGAGTGAGTTCTGTATTTACAATATGTCTGAACTATGTCAACAGGAAAGCATCAGTTCACTATGCTTATTTTCCTCCTGCTGAAAAGACACCTATTAGTACTCAAGTCGCTTTTTGAGGTATTGATTTCAGTGCTTATACATGGATAGTTCCAAGCACTGAAAAAATATATATATATTTATCCTTAAACTAAAAAGTCTTCTCTACCAATAAGTGCTGGAAAATAGAAAAGTATCCAAAGTTAAGCCTTTGATGATACTTTTAGACATGAGTTCCATTGCTCTCAGTCTAACAGACAGGAGAAGACTTTGTTGAGTGGCTTGGGCTTTACTGTCGCAATGGCCAAGAGAGGTGTAGAAATAAGGGTTTTGCGAGAAATGGAGAAATCCAATCAGTCAATTCGTATCTTAAACAGTGAGAGGGAGCTGGGAATGGCTGGCATCTGAAGATATGCAGAATTGACTTTAATATGGCGTTGCCCTCCTCTGATCACCACAAATGCCCAGTCTCCCCCATGTGCACATCTCATAAATCTCGCTGTATGATAGGTATTTGAATATAGAGGAAACGGGGGCTGAAAGCTCAGTCTCTGTGGGCTCTTCTCCAAGCGGCCCCATAAAGGGAGTGCTTATAAACGGAGGAAAGGCGGGGGCGAGGGGTAGTCAATGCCTGCTTTGTCTTTAGCAAGTGTCACACATTTTTACTGGCTGAGAGAGAAACGCCAGCCTCCAGGTGAGGAGCTGGACCAGGTCCTCGCCTCCTTGCAGGGGTAGTGTCAGGCTTCCCACTATGGTTTGCGGAGTAACATGGGGTCCCCAGCTGCCGCCGACAAAGCTGTTACACCTTCTCTGTCATTTCCAGATACGATCCCCGCTTCAACACCTGGATACACCTGGCCAGCATGAACCAGAAGCGCACGCACTTCAGCCTGAGCGTGTTCAACGGGCTCCTGTATGCCGCGGGCGGCCGCAACGCAGAAGGAAGCCTGGCCTCTCTGGAGTGCTACGTGCCCTCCACCAATCAGTGGCAGCCGAAGACGCCCCTGGAGGTGGCGCGCTGCTGCCACGCCAGCGCGGTCGCAGACGGCCGCGTGCTGGTGACCGGAGGCTACATCGCCAACGCATACTCGCGCTCTGTGTGCGCCTATGACCCGGCCAGCGACTCGTGGCAGGAGCTGCCGAGCCTGAGCACACCCAGGGGCTGGCACTGCGCAGTCACGCTGAGCGACAGAGTGTACGTGATGGGCGGCAGCCAGCTAGGGCCGCGCGGGGAGCGCGTGGACGTGCTCACCGTGGAATGCTACAGCCCCGCGACCGGTCAGTGGAGCTACGCGGCGCCGCTGCAGGTGGGAGTGAGCACCGCGGGCGTCTCGGCGTTGCACGGCCGCGCCTACCTGGTCGGGGGCTGGAACGAGGGCGAGAAGAAGTACAAGAAGTGCATCCAGTGCTTCAGCCCCGAGCTCAACGAGTGGACGGAGGACGACGAGCTACCCGAGGCCACCGTCGGCGTGTCCTGCTGCACCCTCTCGATGCCCAACAACGTGACTCGGGAATCCCGGGCCAGTTCGGTATCTTCTGTGCCAGTCAGTATCTGAGCCCAGGTAGATGCAGGGACGCAGAAAGAATACGTTATTTATTCATAGAGCCACGTGGTTAACCTCTGAGTTCGCGAAAAGGAAAATATTTAACATTTACTACACTGATTGTATTGTAAAATATGTCGAGGCACATGTCCTGATGGCTTTAAATTCCTGGTACGGCATAATCTACCTCTGCCTTTTTTTTTTTTTTTTTTTTTTAATCAAAATACAGGGCTATGGCCAACAAAAGAAACAATTTATTTCAGCGGCCACTGGGTGGCAGACGGAATTCGTTATAGGCACTGTTCCAAGGCGGCCTGTTTCCTAAATGTATAGCGGTTACACCCACATTTGAGATTTTTTTCCTCTACACTTTAGTACACTTGAGGTTTATGTAAGTGATTTCATATTCAAAAGTTTATTTTCCTCTCTCTCTTTTTTCTTTAGGAAGTTGAAGATATTCATATAGATTTTATTTAAAAATGGAAATTGTCGATCTACGTAAAGACTTAAGATTTAATTCTCTATTTCAACGCAATTTTTCCCCCAAATGTGATTGAGTAAAGGATTTTGAAAGATATCCCATGACAACGTAATAAAGCTTAAAACAAGATCTGACCGAAAAGGAATAGGGATTCCACCCAGGGACCGTAAAGTTGATAACCTTTGCGTTAGCGGACATTTCTCTTTTTCCATGCCTCAGGCCCCAGTTTATTCTCTACCATAAAATCCTGCTCTCAATCAAGGAATTGATTTGAGTCATTTAATTTATAGTGTAAATTTAAGTCATGTGGTTGTTTCAACTAGAAGGATTTGCATTTTATCCCTTGTCCTCTGTTAAAGAAGAATTTCACATACCCTGGGAGCCTTACCCTCGCCGTAAAAGCTACACCAACCTGGTTAAAGGCAACCTTGGCCCTAATGTACGCCCTGCAAAGATCACCAAATAAAACTATGTCCCTAAGGACCATTAGCTTGAAGCTTAGAGAGCCTGAAATTTATACAACTAATAATAATAATTTTATTTGCCCCAATCTTTTGTAAGACAAGAATGAAAGAAACATTTGGAATTTGCAGATTTGGTAGTAACTGGATGAATGGGTTCTCCTGTTGATAAATGCCATTGTTTCCCATTTCATATGGATCCTCCTGATTTCTTAAGTAAAAATCAAACACTCATCTCACATATATAAAAATATATGCTCATTCTGTCCTATTTTTATTAATCTCATCTGCTCCAAATTAGCTTTGGATTTATAATCAAAGTATATCCACTTGATAGCATTTTTCTTATATGTTTGCCAAGTTTTGGGGAAGGGAATGACTGTAGTAAATGATACATATTTTCCTTTTTTATAATTTATCACTTTATTCTTTGACAGTTTATTTGTTTTGGAGAGGAAGTGGCCTATCAATTATGGGTTATGTGCAATTGGATTTTGAAAAATAAAACAAGCTATTTAGGAATTGAACATGAGTTATATGGAAATATAATTTGGTTTTCATTCATCTCATCCTCTCCACTTTGTGTAGATAGGTTGTTGCTAGAGTTATGATATTTATTTCTAAAATATGTTATCTGAACTGTGAAAAGTGGTTCATATAGTACACTTTGTGGAACAATTTTATATCATTGCCCCTTATGAAAAGTTCAATCTCTGGGTATTTAATGATAACACTCAGGTAAGGGCTACAAATGCTGTAAATTAAGAACAAGACATTATTAATGTAAAAGCACTGGGCTGTTTCCTTATCCCACACAAAGAATCTTTTACCTTGATGTATGTGGATATGGTATATTGCCTTGGTGTATGTATATGTGTGTATACGCACACACTCATACAACTGAGAAGCCTATAGTATATGGTTAATTTTTAGAGAAAAGGTGTTTTATTGTGGACTACACATCATAAGTGGGCAAATAGATGTAATTCCTTGATGCACACTAATAGATGTGTTCCCATTGACATCTTAGAAGTATGAAAAGGAGGACCTAGGGCTTGAAATGAAATGAGAATCAATCAGTTGTAACATTACATGATGGAATAATGAGAAGAGATACTGAAACTAGAGGATTTTTCGTCTATCAAAGCTTGATAAAATAGATTGTGCAAAAACTTGGCAGTGGCTTTCTAGAGATGAAACTGGAGACATGTTAGAGCTGGATAAATCATTTTAAATTACTATTTAACTTATTTTCTGCATTGTTTATCTGAAAACTCAGAAAATCCACATATGTGAGCTTACCAGATTCTTAGGTACGTTGCTGTTCCATCTTCTGCTTCAACAGTTGGGAAAATAAAGACCAATATGAATTTGGAATGTTGGAATTTCTGACATACCACACTGGCAAGGAGTATGGAATGTAAGGGTTGATGAAAGTTTCATATCCTGGAACATCTTGCATTGCCAATTGAAAGACATAAAAGTATGCAGAATCAAAATAATGTGTGTCCCCTTTCATGTGTAAGCGAAACATATTCTTTAAACCACCTATTGAAGCAGTTGCTGCTAGAAACCTAGTTTCTCCAGATTTCCCAAGTGGAAAATATTTAGTATGTTTTTAAGCTTACATTCAATTACTCTCCAGAATCTTAGGACCCAACCATATACTTCCTTTTATTTTTTATTAAAGAAAATGACTTGTTATTTTTGTAACGTCTGAGTCCTGTGATCAAATAAAAGCATCAGTTCAATGTATCAGAGAAATTACATGTTACCCAGCAGCTAAAATAATAAAATTCAAGCTCTCTTTTTCCGAATGGGCCAGAGACCTGATGAGAATGTCTGCAGGAAGCCAAACTTTAATGTAGTTTGTCCATTTTTAGTTAGGTTCTTGGTGCCAAATTGTCATCCCTGATGCATTAGTTGCTTTCAGTGCACTGAATGAATTTTACTTTTACTTCGTATGTTGTAAGAATGGTTTTGAATAGAAGGACAGTGATGGTACAGATTTGTATAATTTTAAAAGATGATTAGATGGTAGTGAAGTGTTTGAGTGAGGAGGTATAATTGATGCCATAAGAAAGTGAGTACTGAATGGTTCTATGATTTAAGGTAGAGCAGCAGTTGTAGTAAGTGTATTTTACAAATACGCATGTAAATAGAAGTTTACCTGGAAATATGTATGTTCTGAAAGGTCAACTTTTTAATTTTATTTTTTTGATAGTTATCCTGACCAAGTGTCTTCAGAACTCATCCAAGTTACTAGGCGAAAGAAACTAAAATCACCTCATTAATTTTTTTCCGTTAGTTACAACCAAATGAATTTATGTAATCTCTGAATGAGCTAGATCCCTATTCCAGCCACTGATGAATAGGTTCTCCAGCACAAGGCAGCATTAAAAGGAATTACTTTTCAGTATTTCTTTTCATGCCAAAAAAACTACAGCATAATTTTCCAAACAGTGCTCTATTGGTAATTATGAGAATTAAACACTCTAAAATATTAAAGATTTACCCTCCAGCACATTCGTTGGGTAAAGACCATTTAATTTGCCCTCTCAGGGAATTTGAAATAAATTATTTGTCTTGGATATTCTTTAAAAACTTTTTATTTATTCAGCAAATTTTGGCAAAAAAAAATTTCATTTGCTTAAAACATTCTGGTACTATGTAAGGAACAACGAACTAAAATGTATGCAGTGTTATTTTGTAATCTCATCACTATCAATAAAGCTGCATTCAATAAGACCTTAGTCAATGACTAAATATGGGCAGTTTTGAAATATCCTTTCTCTGATGATTGGGGTGTTTGTTTTTTTTCTCTACTTAGTTTTCATGATGATTCACCTAGACAAAACAACAACAAATGACAAGTAATTGAAAAAATGTTTCAACAGCTTGAAGACTAGTGAAAGAAAAAGGTATAAAACATCAATAGAGACTTGCTTTGTAACTCAGAGAAAAGCCCAACTCTGGTCTAGTTCAGCCCTGACTATTTAGAAGTCATAGGTTAAGTGTGGTTTGTCTTCCCATTTCCACCCTGACCACAGCCAGCTTGTCACAGGTGCATCATCATTTGCAACAAAACGTTTTAGGAAATAAAATCCCATTGTTGTGTAGACAAGCCCTTACAGCCTTTCTCTTCTACCTTACCCCTCCAAATGAGCAAGTAAAATGTAATCAACATAAGATGCTCAACCTTTGATCTAATTTAGTACTTAAATAATAACATTCAGTTGAGGCCATCAAATCTAGGAAATTCTAAATGGCAGCAGTGTTTTTCTTAAAATTCTCCAAGCCCGGTAATCATATAAATAGACTAGCCTCAAACACAAAACAAATGGTGCCACATTCCAAATTTTGAGCATACCAGCCAGATGCCTCAGAGTTTCTTTGCGTTTTTTTTAAACTCCCACATTACTCCAAGCTTCCCTACAGATTTGTACGGCCTCCCACAACAATCTTGGGGATGTCTCCACTCTCAGTTACAGTGGGAAACTAAGCAGGATCTTTTTTTTGCTAGGCCAGGTATAGACAAGATCTGTGCCCTTTCCAGGCTTCAGCACTGTGCTGAATTCTATCTATATCTCTTTGGCCAGAACAGCCATCCGGCCTACTTAGATGAAAGGGAGCTATGAAAAAGGTCTTCATGTCCAGGAGGAAAAGTAAAGTTTTCATATAGCATTGTCTCTGCACAATGAATGGCTAGTCATCTTCATACCTGGTTATCAAAGGAGCAAGGAGCTTCCCAGTCACACTGCTTCCCCTCAGCCACACTGCTCTGGCTCTGAACACACCATAACAACGCTCTCCTCTCCCTTTCCTGGGTGACAAGACATGTACTCAGCTCCCTTATTATACCTTGCCTTTTTCCTTCTGAAGAACAAGCCCAGACAACTCTTGCAGAAACTTTTCTCAATTCAGTGCCTTTACAGGTCAAGAGCATGTATTAAATGTATTCTGCCAGCCTTGAGTGTTTGCACAAATCTGGTTCCCAACAGCCATCAAATCAACCCCTTCCTCCCTGGGTCTCCTTGTTCTTCTGTTTCTGGAATCGTCTTAATTCTTCTTGATCTAACCTCTTCTAAAAGAATGTTGAGTGAAAATTATACATCTGTGACTTAATTCCTGCCACTCTAGCCATACTAGCAGGTTCCCAACACATGACAATTTGGGGAGAAGAGAACACATGTAGAGTCTAAAAGAGGACCTACACGCATCTGTTCTTAATCCCCATTAACAGAAGAGGATTCCTGAAAGAAAGAGGAGGAAGGAAGCTAAATGGTGGTAATCTGTCTCTCAAGTTGTATTCTGCAATATTAATGAAACGTTTCCATTTATTGCAGAGTTCCAAACTGAAAAATGATTTATTTCATTACAATTCTGCATATGAGTAGCAAAGAAAATTCTGTATGCCAAAAGAATCCTTTGTTGTTTAACAAATGTTCATTAGACATAATTATTTCCCAGCCTCATGCCCCTGATCATATTCTGTCTTTCTCTGCCCTGCTCTGTGCTCCGCCCCTCGGGACTACATCATCCAGACTCAAGCTCTTTGGCTGCACATTTTATTCATCTAACGGGAGGTATCAGAAGGAGGTCAGAGGGCAGAAACAAGTGGTTGGGATTTTTTTTTCTGCCCTCTTCAGGCTTCAGCACTGTGCTTCTGGCCTAGGCTGTAACTCTCAACAGCTCCAGCCCAATGGCCTTCCCTCCCTGGTTCAAATCTCACCGTGCCTACTTGCCATCATAGTTTACCACCTCTGGATATTTTCCTGTTGATTTATGTTCTGCCATCCCTTTTAGAATACGATCCTTAAATGTGAAAATTTTGTCTCATTCACAGATGTACCTCCAGAGTCTAGAGTCATGCCTGGTGTATAGTAGGAGATCAATTTTTTGTGTGTGAAGTAAGTAAGTGAATGAGTGAATAAAAGAGTAAAGCCATCATGACCTACTGCTTGCTAATCTCTATTCCAATATTACTCATTTATTTAATCAACAAATACTTATTAAGCATCTACTGCATGCAAAACACTTTCCCTTGCCCCAGGAATCACTAGAGGGAAGCACATTAAAGTACACAACCATGATAACTAGGACTTTTCCAAACTAGCTGCAAGCCAAAAATTAAATTGTTAAGACACATTACAGGTGGAAGGAGTTATGCAACCAACACTTTCCATTTCCTAAAAAAAAAAAAACTCAAAAGATTCATATCTCTATAGCTATGTCCCCTTTAAAATTTTTTAAATTACATACATCCTCTCTCCAATTGCCAATTCTTCAAAAACAGGTTAGAACTAGCTTCATCATTTAGCTAGTAAGCATTTATTCGGTGTTTACTAAGTACACACTCACACAGACACATCATTTAAGTGTGAGTGTGTGCATATATACATATATTCTCTGTGTGTGTGTGTATGTAAAATATGTGGCCTTATGCTTGCATTCTGAAATTAAGAGCCATTATGATTACATCACCTTATCTCATATGAGAGCTAAACAAGTTAATAGGTAAAGTTCATTTCTTTAAATACTTCTCATGGGCAGCCATGTTTTCAGAGACATGGAGAAACCCAAGAAAGTAGAGCCTACACACAAATATCCAGGGGCCTTTTTCTGACTCAAAAATGAGAGATAAACAGGGACTCCTGGAAGCAGGACCCTTGCAGCTCAATCCCTGGTGCCCTTCAGAACCCCAGACCAGTCTCCATCGAAGGTGTTTCATTTCCCTCATGGGTAAAAATACTGAGGACAGGTCACTCAGTGCAGAGTCCTTGGAGATAGACAGTGAATCCCTGGGCCTGAGTCTTCTAGAGACACTTGGAGTGCATTAGTTCGTTCTCACACTAATAAAGCCATAACCGGGACTGAGCAGTTTATAAAGGAAAGAGGTTTAATTGACTCACACAGTTCAGCATGGCTGGGGAGGCCTCAGGAAACTTACAACCATGGCTGAAGGGGAAGCAAATACATCCTTCTTCACATGGTGGCAGCAACAAGAAGTGCTGAGCAAAAGAGGGAAAAGCCCTTTATAAAACCATCAGATCTTGTGAGAACTCACTCACTATCACCAGAACTGCCCCCATCATTCAATTACCTCCTCCTGGATCCTTCCCCTGGGGATTATGGGAACTACAATTCAAGATGAGATTTGGGTGGGGACATAACCAAGCCATATCAAGGAGAGTGAGATATTGCATAAAGAAATAAGGGGTGGCAAATTCAGCTGAAAGAAGGACTGGCTCCTGCTTTGGAGGCACTCCACAGAGCCACACTTCTGAAGATAGTGAGGTGTACTAGTGACTGATCCTGGGACAGCTTTGGGAGCCTGCTGGAGATGGCGGGGCTACAAATGGACAAATGGAAAGAGTTACTATTGGAGGGGAGTCTCCCCATGCAGGACTGCTTGTTTTGAACAGGGACAGACTAACTGCACTGAAAATCCATGAAATGTTAAGGCATTGCCAATTTCCATTATTTCCCCTGAATTCTTGCAATTAAAATCCAACTTGATAAATGAATGCTTTTGATGAAGCCATCCAGTCCTCTGCCCCTGCCTGCCTGCACTGACCTTGCCATATTCTTTGACCCAGGCAGAAAATCGTTTGGCCAGCTCTTTTCCCCTCCTTAAAGTATGAACATGCAGTCTGAAAATTCAGAGCTTAAAGGTGAGAGTCAAACACTTCAGCTGGGCCAGGCGCAGTGGCTCACACCTGTAATCCCAGCACTTTGAGAAGTCAAGGCTGGCGGATCACTTGAGGTCAGGAGTTCAAAACCAGCCTGGCCAACATGATGAAACTCTGTCTCGACTAAAAACACAAAAATTAGCCAGGTGTAGTGGCTTGTGCCTGTAATCCCAGCTACTCAGAAAGCTGAGGCAAGAAAATCACTTGCCCCCAGGAGGTGGAGGTTGCAGTGAGCCGAGATTGCACCATGGCACTCCAGACTGGGTGACAGAACAAGATTCTGTCACACACACAGGCATACACACACACAGTCATACATACACACCCACACGCGCACACACACACACAGAACATGTCATGAAACTTGGCAGAAAATCAATTTAGGAGATAGTTTACCTCTTACAAATGGAGAATAAACTTTTTGAAACATAGGAATACATCACCAATATAAATGGAAAACACAACTCCTACAGGAAGATGAATAAAGACTTGAAGAAAGAATTGCAAGGAACAACTTCATTCTATCAACTCTCTCAACTAAGAAGAAAGAAGCTCAAGGAGCTAAGAAAATAGAAAGACTAAAATTGGCTAAAGCAGAATTTAAATCCAGGTTTCCCAACTAGCCTTGTAGTAGGCCAATTAATGTCACCCCTTCCCCTCATGTCCGTACCCTAATCTCTGGGTCCTGTGCTTATGTTATTCTATATGGCAAGAGGGACTTTATGTAATTAAGGTTGTGGATCTCGAGGTGCAGAGATTATCCTGGATTAACCAGATGGGGCCAGTCTAATCACTTGAGCCCTTAAAAGCAGAGAAGTTTCTCTAGCTAAAGTCAGACATGCAGCAGAAGAGGAAATCCAAGAGCTTTCAAGTGTGAGATGGATTTGATGTGCAATCACTGGTTCTGAGATACAGTTACCCAGATACAAAGTTAAAAAGAGGCCTCTCAAAGCTAATAGAAGTTCCCAGGTGACAGCCAGCAAGGAAATGGAGACCTCAGTCCTACAGCTACAAGAAACTGGATTGTGCCCACAATTTGAGTGAATCTCCCTATAACCCATGCTGTCAACACAGATTATAGCCTGGTGAAACCTGAAGCAGAGAAACCAGTCAAGCCAACCCAGACTTCTGACCTACACAGCAATGAGATAATAAACATGTGTGGCTATAATGCACTAAACTGTGGTGATTTGGCTAGCAGCAGCAGCAGAACACTCATGTCCCTGCTGTTCAACCGTACTCGGGAATTTAGGGTCACATGCAGGTTCGATTCCATTTTCAAAGCAATGAACTTTTGCGTATCCACCGCCACAGATCTGCCTGCATTCTCTCTCCTTAAAAGTTGTTCCATCTCTTTTTAGTTGGACTGCTATCATTTAATTGATGCTATATTTCCTCTTATTGAGGTTTGATAAAATTATAATTTTTACGATGGTATTTTAAAAATATAATGTTTTAAATATTTTTTTATAAATACATTACTTCTACTTCAGTGGACCCTTCAAAATTAGATCATATAAATATTGCATTTTTAACCAGGCATAGTGGCTCATGCCTATAAACCCAGCACTTTGGGAGACTGAGGTGGAGGATCACTTGAGCCCAGGAGTTCAAGACTAGCCTGAGCAACATAGCAAAATCCTGTCTCTACAAAAAATTAGCCGGGCATGGTGGTGCATGCCTGTAGTCCAAGCTACTTGGGAGGCTGAGGTGGGAGAATCACCTGAGCCTAGGAAGTCAAGACTACAGTGAGTCCTGATTGCACAATGACACTCCAACCTGGGCAACCCCTGAGACCTTGTCTCAAAAAAAAAACAAAAACAAAAAACAAACAAACAAAAAAAATTGTATCTTTAGTGAAATAGAAGGTCCATCATTATTTAAACCATCATTGAACTTTGACATGACCAGGTGGAGACATTTGAAAGAATCAAGACCATTTCTATATTCTATGAGCTGTTACTAGAAATCAATAAGATAAACTAATATTTTCTTCAATACATTTTGATTGTTTTTAAAAACAATGCACATATATACATTTTTAAAAATCTTAAACAACAGCAACACTGTCAACTAAACTTTGTAATATTTTTACTAGGCTAGATTTAAATGCATATATTAATTTAGGGTAGTTGACATTTTGCAACCATTTGTTTTTTATTTTGTAATTTATTTTTAACCTTTATTATTTCATTTAGTATATTCTTTGCTATTTAAATGGTTCTGTTTTATGCAGTGAAATAAAATATTTTCCATATATATCATATATATGGAAAACTATTCTATAATTGTGTTACCTAGATTTTAAAAACACTACCCTAGAAATTATAATACTATCAAGCCTCAACAACAACAAATGTAGCATCAGTTAAATAACAGGAGTTCAACTTAAAAGAAACAATGACTTTTAAGTAGAGAGAATGCAGGCAAACTTCTGTGGCTGTGGATGTACAGGAGTCTAGATAGGTAGGTAGGTAGGTAGATAGATAGATAGATAGATAGATAGATAGATAGATAGATAGATAATTTCTTGAGCTTTTGTTATGTCTAGCAACCTGTGAGGTGCTGGAGCTCCAAAGATGAATAGACCTTTTCTCACTGTCTCTGGGAGTAGGGGGAAGTGAAGAAGGAGAGGCTGGGGAAACAGACATGTAAACAAATTATTGCTCTATGATATAATACCTGTAATTACAGGGATATGCACAGAGCCTCATGAAATTCAGAAAGATTCTCTCTGGAGGAGTTAAAGCAAGGGGAAAATTCTGAGCTGATTTTTTTTAAGATTTAGAAATTCGGGATTATTGCAGATTGTGTACTGTGTTCAGAAAGCATTATAATAAAGTCTATACCCTTGCCTCTCGAATTTTGCCAAGAAATTTAGCAACTGCTGTGACCTAATTGCCTCTTCTGTGGTCTTTGGAAAGCAGTTTAAACTGGGAATTGGAAGACTGGAATTTTATACCCAGATCCAACATTGGCTAAACAAATGGTTTGGGCCTCAGTTTCCACATTTGTAAACATAACAATGAATCATAAACACCCTGCTTATTTCATAAGACAGTTATAAAGATTAAACTAGATAATATAGGTGAAAACACTCTGAAAACACCAGGGCATTCTACACATTCATCTAGGTCATGACATTTCTATCTTGAGTTGCCTGTGGCCAATATTAATTACTACTATGCATTAAAATAGCAAATTAATCAGAGTAATAAAACTATGTGATTCCTTGGAGTCCCATACCATATTTCTTCTGAAGCTC